CCCGCGTGTGGCCCGCCCCGGGGGCCGTCTGCTGCTCTTTTCGAATTCCTGCCCCCCACCCCCCCCCCCCCCCCCCCCCGGCCCCCTCACGTCTCACCTCTGTTTACTATTGTCTGTTTACTATTTAGAAATGTCATTGCCCTTTCTGTACACACCTGTCTATTCTTCACGGGAATTAGAGGCGGAGGAGGAAGATGCCAACCGGTTTAGAGATCTGCTTTGTAATTGATGGAACTCTTAATGCTAGATGTGGTTCTAGAAGCCCAGGTTGGAGCCGAGCGAACTAAACAAGAGTTCTTGACCTCACTGAATGTATGCTGAAACTCAAGGTTTCTTTCTCAAGGACAGGGATGGACGCTGAGGATCTCTAGAAAGAGCTTTTGAACATTTTAGGAGCTCACCTTTTTCCTTCAGACCTTATTTTGCTTTTCTGCCGTGGCTAGTTTGGTACCTGACAGCTTAAACCTTATGTTCTAGATACTACTCTGGAGAGAAGGCGGCCCCAGTTCTCACAATCTTCATTGGCGGAAACCATGAAGCCTCAAATCATCTGCAAGAGTTACCCTATGGTGGTTGGGTGGCACCAAACATTTACTATTTAGGTATGTGTTTAGGTGTGAGTTTTTTGGTGATGGGATGGGGGCCCTTAGGATGTTAGGCAGCATCTAGAAGGTGTATGGTGTTTGGGGGATGCCATTAATTTAATGAGAATGAGAGTTAAAATAGTTACCAAATCACTAGTACTGAGCTTAACATCCTAATGTTTTAAGCAAGAGTTAATATTTGTAGTTTTATTTTTTCTTATTCGTACTGAATTAAACCTTTATCATGGAAATTGTTAGAGAGTACTATAGGAATCTCTGTATTTGTTAGCTTCAGCAACTTTTAGTCTACTATTTTTGTTTTTAATACCATATTACTCTAAATGTCTCTGTGGGAAATGACTATTTTAAAGCAAGTCCTAACCACTAGATTATTTTTCTTTATATCCTTAAGTGCATTTTTTTTTTTTTTCGGCTTGAGACATTAAACAGTTTTTGATGTTGAAATCAACCTTTAATAATAAAAAATGCATTCCAGTATACACTGAACTCATTTCCTTTGTGTGAAGAAGTATGAATGAGACGTGCATTAATATTTAAAAGCAAAGTACTTCTCAGTCAAACTTGAAATACCGCAAGAGCACAACAGATTCGAAATACACTCAGATCATGTAGTGTCAGCACCCTTGGGAATGCCAGCTATTTGCCATCTGCTTCCATGATGGTTTCTTGAGTGTCTTCTACCTCTGACAGCTTTTCATCATTTTCCAGTGTTTGTTGAAGCTCATGGATGGTACTAAGAAGAACATGAAATTGTTTCTGTCTCAATTCCAGCTTAGCTTCAACACTTTCTTTAATATGTGAAAGATGTGCTAATTCTTTTCCCAGAGCCTCTAGCTCCTTTAGTGTCTCATGCCTGTCTGGATGATGCTGAATCACTTTTGCCACAGCATCATATTCTTGGCGATTTTTCCATATTCGTTTTGCTTGAAGAATTTGCTTTTTACATTCAGCAATTTTTTCATGTGCCCCTGCAATGCTGCATTCTATTTCTTTGTAGATTTTTTCATAATTTTCCATTTCTTGCAGATTCATGTCATACACTAGCAAAGTTTTGGCCCATTGAAAATTCACACAGAGACAGTGTGCTCAGCATGTGCTGGTACTAGCTGTAATCCCTCTACTTGGGATCCAGAGTTGCACCATTTAATGAAACTTTTCACTAGCAGATTAATTCTTCGATCATCTCCAGTACCATCTCCATTAATTAGGAGATGCTTTCATATGACTTCGTCATCAGTCATGCCTCTCATGGCATGTGCGATGGCAGCGTGAGCTTAAGTGCATGTTTTTTGAGTGATAGAATTTTTTTTTAAAGTACCACAAATGATATCATTATTATACCTAGCTAAAGTAAGCAGGTCCTTATTATCTATTGCCTTGTCCATGGTCAAATTTCTCTACAGATTCAAAGATACCAGCTTTACAGACTTTGCAAATTTCCTCAGATAGAATCCATACATTTGTTTTTCTTGACTCAGGTCTCTTTGTCCTAATGGGCCTTATTCTTTCCTTTCAGTTCGTTCATACTGGGTTTTTGTTGTAGAAAATGGAAGGTTATCCTGTAGCATTTCCTGCATTCTGAATTTAGCTGATTGGATTCCTGTGATGCCATTTGAAATGTTCCTTTTATCTGCCACATTTCCTATCTTTTAAACTCTACAGTCCTTTCTTCTCTTTATATACTGTTTCTAGAACAGCTTTCAGGCTTCTCCTGACATGAAATCTTAACAGAAATTCAGTTTCTCTCCTTTATTACTGATTTATCATATTCTAACAACTACAATATTGTGAAAAGGCAAAATTGTCAAATGATCAGTCAAAAATGAGATGAACTGTAGGTGCTTTATACATTGTACCTGTTGACTTGAAGTTTCATACTGTGTAAGTACATCACAGGACCTTTTCCTGTATCCAGTTCCCACTGCCTCACTGTATGTTCAGCTAGGTACCAAAGTGTGTCTGTTTCCCCTTTAACATCTTGTCTCATTCTTCCCTTCTAGAGTCCACTGGTTCACTTGGCTGATCTGCTGAAGGTTCTTTCCCTAGTCTTGTATATTAGCATAGTAACTATGTAAAAAAGTAGCCTTATAACACATATTTTCAAATAGTGTTAGAACTGCATAAAATTCCAGACTTGTAAATGGTTTATTCTCTTAGTGAATACATTGTTTTTAATCTCATAATTTTATTTAACTGCACACTTTTCCAGGTCTGGCTGGTGTGGTAAAATACCGAGGTGTAAGAATTGGTGGGATCTCTGGCATCTTTAAATCTCATGACTATCGAAAAGGTATTGTGGCAGGGGGTGGGGATGTTATTTTTAAATTTTAGAACTTGCATGCCCTAAAGGAAGTGTAATGTGTAGCTTGACTGAATTTCTCTTGTAAATTTTTTTCTTTCTTTTTAACTTGTTAAGTGTAATCTGATCATTTGTGAATATTTCATTGTGTGGTTATACTACAGTGTACCTTTCATTCCACTCTAACTGAATTATTCCTTGATTTTTAAAAAAAATATTTTATTATTTTTATTTTGTGTATATGAGTGTCTGCATGCATGTAAGTACACCTGTATCCTGCAATGCCTGCGGCAATCAGAAGAGGGCATCTGATTCCCTGGAACCGGAGTTACAGTCCATTGATAGTCACCATGTGAGTGCTGGAAATCGAACCCAGGGTCTCTCCAAGAAGCAGCCAGTGCTCTTAACTGCAAAATCATCTTTCTACCCTTATTCCTTGATTTTTAAAGTTAGAGGAATAGCTTAGATTCATATTGATTCCACATATTTCATGAATTACATTGACAACTAAAACACCTTTTATGTAGCTGTCAGTTGTGAGCATTCCTGCCCCTCTGCCCTCCATGGCTCTAAACTATTGTTGAGGACTACAGAGATGGGTTCTGCGACATGGCATATATGAATGTAAATTTAGAGCTACTTTTGGGAACACATTTGGTAATGTGGCTTATTTTTCTTTAAGGTCATTTTGAGTGCCCCCCTTATAATTCATCTACAATAAGGAGTATATATCATGTGCGAAATATTGAAGTCTACAAACTAAAACAGGTATGTGAAAAGTATATTAGAGCAAACTTGAAAGAAATTTAGAGTAATTTTCTACCAAAATGTGGTTGATCATATTTGAAAATAGCAATTCAGTATTTCTAATTTGGATTTTGAATAGCTTTTAGGAGGGTCACAGTTGAATATTTTATTTTACTTTATTTATCTTGAGACAAGGTCTTCCTGTAGGTCCAACCGGCCTTGGACTTGATACGTAGACCAGGCTGGCCTTGATTTCACAGAGACCTGCCTGCCTCTGCCTCCTGATTGCTGGGACTAAAGGTGTTTGCTCCCACACCCAGAACATTTTTTTAATGGTTAAAAGTTTATTTTAATAAGCAATTATAAAACATTTAAGACATGGCTTCAAATACTGTCCTTGGGTTAAAGATAAAGAACATATGTTGAAATAGTGATATTTTAAAGAAAATACTAAAGTAAAATATTTTAGCCAAGTATGGGTGGTACATGTCTCTCTAATCCCATCACTTGGGAGTCTGAGGCAAGAGGATTGTGAGTTTGAGGTTGGTATGGGCTACTTAGTAGGATCCTGTTTGAGAACAAAAGGAAATAACATTTTATATTTTGGTAACTAAGTAAGTAATAGTGTTAAACAGAAAACAGCGAATGAGAAAGATGCTAGAGGAATGAGAAAATATCAAAATCCTCCTTTAATTGAAGAGTAGGTGATAACCTACTACAGGGCCCACACTATGCTGAGCAGTTTTCACATGGTATTTAGGCAGTCTCCACTCAAGTTCTGTGAAGTAGCTCTCACTCCACCAAACTGATTAAGAATAAGGCCAGGAGCCTGGCCTGGACCTGCTAGGTAATTTGTAGTAGAACCTGTCTTACTGTACTCGTGCCTTGCACATCCCCTTGCACGCAGGATGCTCACAGGCCTTTCTTTTAGGATCTGTTCATAGCATCCCCTTTCACTTGTTGAAATGCCACTTGTCCTTTAAGACCCAACAAGATACCACCTTCCAACCACACATGGTTTTTCTAGTGTGGAACATCGCCCTTCTCTGAATTCTTTTTGCATCTGTTGCCCATTCTGTTATTTAGTGATGAGTTGTATCTGACCTATATTATAGATTGTTTTGAATACTTATTTGAGTTGTTTTAGTTTAGTTTCTCAACTATTTGTTTTATATTACTCTATGGTGCTGGAGCATAAATTCAGAGCATAGTTTGTGTTTTTCCCTATGAAGGTACCAGCTACTTTAAATATTAATTTATCTCGCAAAGGAAGAATTTTTAGTTGATTCTCATTAGAAAAAAAATTTTGATGGTGGTCTGGGGATTCGAACCCACGGTTATGCAAGTTCTCTGCCACTGATCTCTATTCCCATCTCCTAGTTTTTCCTGTTAGGATATTAAATAGTCTTACTATATTCATATATTAGAAGTCTCATGAAATCTTAGATCTTCAAAGTAGTCATTTCTTTGTCAGGGAAAAGAACTGTGATTTATATAATATATATATGTATGTGTGTATGTGTATATATGTATTTTCTAGAAACCCAGGTCAATAGGCATTAGCTGACTGGCAGGCTAATCAGCGTGTCGTTGCTGCTCTGCTTTTGCCACAGAAAATGGGATAATTTCTAGGCACCTAAAAAGCTGCTTGTCTTTGTTTAGCTGAATGAGTAGCTTGGTATTTTTGTTACTTAAGTAAAGTGTCCTTCAAACAAATGAACACAGAAGTCTAGATGCCAGACTGTAAGCGTGGTTGTCTGATGGTGAAGAGAAGGGGTGTGGGGGAGGGCCTTTTTTGGCTAATCTCTTAAGAATTTTATTTTATTCTTTTTCTGTTCTTAAGTTGAAGCAGCCTATAGATATATTTTTATCTCATGACTGGCCAAGAAGTATATATCATTATGGAAATAAGAAGCAACTTCTTAAGACCAAATCCTTTTTCCGACAAGAAGTGGAAAATAACACGTTAGGGAGTCCTGCTGCCTCAGAGCTCTTAGAGCACCTAAAACCAACTTACTGGTTTTCTGCACATCTTCATGTGAAATTTGCAGCCTTGATGAAGCATCAGGTAAAAAAAGAAAATACTTTGTTTTTATCTTTAACAAATACTTATTGAACTGTGGCCACAGTGGCAAAGCCAGAGAAGGGAAAGGTAGCTGACCTCTTGTGAGTACTTGGTACTCAATGTGGGGAAGAAATAGGCAAGAAGTTACAGTACAGGATGAGTTTGGTAGAACAGTGCTAAGGTGCTGTGTGAGCACCTGCGCCAAACTCTGTGGGGCAGGGATGAAGAGAGAGGGAGAGAAAGTTTTTCCAAAGGAATCCATGGCTGAGCTAAGTCTTCAGCTGCCAAGAGGAAGCTGAGGGAACAACATTTACAAAGACTAGAGGTCTGAGAGCACAGTGTGCTTGGGGTACTAGTTTCTGTGGCTGAGGAGTAGAGACAGATAAAGCTGGAACAAAATCAGAACTGCTTTCTGGGCTAGAGCTTTGGTACTCATTCCTCCTAGAGTAAGTCCACCACAGAAAGGGCCTTAGACAGATTTTCAGTTATAACTATTTCAGGAGCATTGTGCCTTTAACATAGAAAAGGGTTTGATCCAGGAGTTTTGGGAAGCACTGCACATGACACTCCACTCAGGACGGGCAGTAATTAGTGTACCAAAGACCCACACTTTCTATAGAAGACTTCCAGAAGTCTCCGAGTGTTAATCCTGCATTTTCTAAATGGTTTCCCTATGGAATATTTAATGAGAAAGAGTTTGGGTTTTAACTAGAAGGTGATGGGGAAAGTTGGAGAGTGATGAAACCAGATGGTTTTAGAAAGATTAAATACTGGAATTGTGCATGGATTGGAGTGATGGGAAATCGGAGGCAGAGGGTGCTGTTTAGTAAAAGAGAACTTTGTAGTCTAAGGCAAAGAATGCAGAGAATGAAGCAGGCTCTAGAAAGGAAGCAGAGTGATGAGGACTTAATGGGAGGAGGGCATGTAGGGTGACTTCCAGAGGGTTATTTAGGGGTGGGAGGACAGGGCTAGGTAGCTGGATAGATAGATGGTTTTGGATGGAGGCGGAAAATAAATGCATACTTATCATTTCATCCAAATTCTTGGTTTGAGGTGTTTAGTTGCTGACAATTCTTACAATTCTTCTATAGCATTTCTGAGAGTCTTTAATGCCCTAAAGGGTACTGCCTTTCTAGAGCCGGATGTGGCCATGTAGTGGGGCCGTGGCCACTCAGTGATCTTACTGGCTCGAAGTCCAAGTCGCTTGTAGATACTGCTCGCTCACCTTTCCACATCCTGTTACTATCTTTTGTTTCTTAAGGGCTCATGGCACGTGTGAGTTTTTATTGAAGTGTCTGATTTGCTGCTTTCCCTACTGCATCTTCTGTTCCTGTTCTCAGGGACATGTGTGTCTGCATCATTGATGTGTTTGATCCCTTTGTATTGGCTCATGAACTTCTAACTTTGCCAGTATTCTGTTTTGCCACAACAAAAATTCTCCTCAAAACTGTCTTGCTGCCAAGATCTTTCCACAATCTCTGCCTCCCGCCTTTTTAAGCACCTCACCAGCACAGAATCATGCTTGATCCTTTAGGCCATGGCTTGCCTCCGTGTCTTTCTCCTCCACAGCCCTTACTGTCATTTTTGTACTGCTTCCTATGACCTTCATACTTGGGATTTTTCCATTTCCTTTTGTCAGTTCACTTTGGAAAAGGTAGTTTTATTGGGGTATACTTTGCATCTAGAAATACATTTAAAGTAGATTATTGAATGATCCTAAGTAAATGTCTATAGAATTGTGTGACTACTACACAGCCCATTCTTAGAACATGTTTATCACCCCAAAAGATCCTTTGAGCTTGTTTGTTCCCATCCTCAGCTGCAGGCAACCACTGATTTGTCTCTCCTGAACAGTTGGTGTAAAAGTATGTAGTTTAGCATCTAGTTTCTTTCATTTGTTTGTGAGTCACTTAAGTAACATGTCAGCGTTTTAGTGCTTAATGTTTTATTTTATGGATGCATCATCTCTATTTTTGGTGTTCTATCTAAGAAATACTTGCCTAACCCAAGGTTACAAAGGTTTTCTTCCATTTCTTCTAAAAGTTATAGGATTTTGTTTTGCTAATTTAGTTTTCTCCTTGTATTCCTTGGTTTATGTGTTAGAAGCTTTTATTTGACATCATTACCATCAGTTCTTGCTTTGAATTTGGGGAGGAAATTGCAGCCAACAGTGGTTAAGTGCTTTGTGTACCATTGCCCAAGTGAATATAGACCCTTTTTTTCTTTTTTAAAAAATAGTAGTCATTGGGGCTGGAGAGATGGCGCAGCGGCTAAGAGCAACTGTTCTTTCAGAGGACCTGGGTTCGATTCCCAGCACCTAAATGGTGGCTATGAACCGTCCTTAACTCTGGTTCCAGGGGTATCTGACACCGTCTTCTGACCTCTGCGGCATTGCACGACATGAGTGCACTCCCACACGTGCAGACGATACACTCATACACATAAAATAAAAATAATAAATAAAATATTAAAAAAAACACCTGTGTACAACAGAGGACCAAAGTGAAAAAAAAATAGCAGTCATTCTTTTCACAGAGAATTTAGATGCACATGCAAGGAGGGTTATTTCTGTCTTACTCAGGGTATGAATTACTTGTGTTTGGCATTCGTTATTAAATGGTGATTCATATCCTCTAGGCCACAGATAAAGAGCAAGCAGCCAAAGCAACGAAGTTTTTAGCCTTGGACAAATGCTTACCACACAGAGACTTTCTTCAGGTAAAAGGAGAATAAGTTCACAATAGTTTTATTCTTCTGATGATTTTTAAAAATTAGTTTTAATTTCAGAATTTATTTGTGCTATTTATAATTTATGTTTTCTGAGCGTTCTTTGGAGATAGGATTTAATTTTAAATTCTTTTTCAATTTTGTTGTGTTAAAGTTCTTAGACTATGAAACCTATATTACCTAAAATTTGCAATTTCGTCCTTTAGGTGTTAGAAGTAGAGCATGACCCCACTGCTCCTGAGTACTTGGAATATGATATCGAATGGCTCACTGTTCTCAGGGCCACGAATGACCTAATTAACGTGACTGGAAATCTGTGGAATATGCCTGAGAATAATGGTCTGCATTCAAGGTAATACGGACCTCTTTAGAACGTGCCCTCCCCGTCACATGTGCAGTTTGTCTCTCTAATCTTTGCTATGTTTTATTGTCCCCACAGATTTGTTTTGTCTGTACAAAGGAGGAGGGGGACAGGTGACAACGCTTTGGGGATCTGGGCATTTGGCAAGCAACCCTGCAGGCCTGCTTAGTGACCTTTCACAGCTTGTCAGACATATAGTAGTTGCCTGTAGTTGTAGTCTCTAACCTGGGGCTGACTGTGGGGGACTTGTACAGCAGCCATTGGCTGTGAGGACCTACCTTTATTAATCGAAAGTTATGGTTGAGTGTTGAGGCAATTCACGGTTGACTACTACAGTCAAGAAAACTATAAGTTTTCTGTCCAAGGCTGACAAAATTTGTTAAGCATCAGCCCAGATAAGTTTATGAACAAATAAGTATGCCTCAGATTATAATGTGGCAAAGATTTGGTTCATACATATATAAATAATACTTATTTTGAGAAATGAGTAAAATAATTTTTTTAAAAAAAACAAAAGCAGCATATCTTTAGTCTCATGTTAGATTGTTCCCTCTTAATGAATTCATTTATTTGTGGAGGAAAGTAACTCATACAAAAGACACTTTTCTTTTGTTAAAGAAAATCAAGAAATGCAGCTGGGGGTGGTGGCACACACCTTTAATCCCAGTACTCTTGAGGCAGAGGCAGGTAGATCTCTGTTCCAGGCCACCCTGGACTACATAGTGAGTTCAGGTCATCTGGGGCTACTGGGAGATTCTGTCTTAAAAAGACCAAAAAAAAAAGAAAGAAAAAAAAGAAAATCAAGAAATACTAGAATCATACAATATGAAAGTGGAAAATATAATACAAAGAATTTTCAGGCAACATTGAGATTTCTATGAGAGTCATAGGCCCCTGATACTAGAAGGTACTTGATAAATATTTATAAATAATAGTAATGGCTAATACTTAGATACTTCTTTTGCTGTGTCTAAGAGCTCTTAGTTAATCCTCAAAATCACTTAAGTATGTGCTATTATTGTTCCTATGATATTGATGAAGGTCTGAAGTTATAGGGAGTGTGAATGGCTCAGTTTGTTCAAAATTATTTAGCTAGGTAGACACTGAGCTGTACTCAAACCCAGGCAGACCTACTCCTAAGTTTGCTCTTGCTCACTGTGCAATAGCTTCATCTCAGACCAGACAAATAAAGGGTTACTCAAACCCACACATCTAAGGTGTTTGGTAAAATAATTCTACTCTCGAAGATTTCCCATGTAATGTTGCTCCTTGTGTAATTCCACCAAAATTACTGATATTATTAGTATACTTTCCTTCATTGTGACAAAACACCTGAGACAATTAACTTAAAAGGAAGAAAGGTTTTTTCCTAGTTTGCCTTTTTTTTTTTTTTTTGGTTTTTTTGAGATAGGGTCTCCCTGTAGCCCCAGCTGTCCTGGAACTCTTTATTTAGACCAGACTGGCCTTGAACCCACGGAGATCCGCCTGCCTCTGCCTCCCAAGTGCTAGGATTAAAGGCGTGTGCCACCATGCCCGGCCCTAGTTTGCTTTTTATTGCTAGGATAAAAACATTCAGCAAAAACCAACTTGGGGAGGAATGGGTTTGTTTGACTCACAGGTTGTAACTTATCATCAAGGGAATCCAAGGCAGGAACTCAAGACAGGAACCTGGAGGTAGGAACTGAAGCCCAGACCATGGAGGATGCTGCTTACTGACTTGCTCCTCTGGCCTATATGCTCAGCCTGCTTTGTTATACAACCCAGCACAAGTGGACATGTCTGGAGGACTTTCCTTGATTGTTGAGTGATGTGGGAGGGCCCAGCCCACTGTAGGTGGAGTAAAATAATTTTTTAAGAGGTTTTTTTTTTAATTTCTAAAGTGATCCTTTGCTAAATTAACTATAGTTTTAATATATGGTATTTTGACAGTTTATTTATCATCTTTGCACCTGGGGTCTGTACTTAGGTTTTATCACTTATTGTTTGAGGGCAATTTAAAGGTAAAGATCAGTTCTTTTTCAGGTGGGATTATAGTGCAACAGAAGAAGCTATGAAGGAAGTAATGGAAACACTGAACCAGGACCCAAAAGTTCCCTGTAACTTCAGTGTGACAGCTGCTTGTTATGATCCTAGTAAACCACAGGCACAAGTGCAGCTGATTCATAGGATCAATCCACAGACTACGGAGTTTTGTGCTCAACTTGGCATCACTGACATTAATGTCATGCTTCAGAAGGCCAAGGAAGAGCTCCACCTGTGTGGGGAATACGAACAGGATGATCTGGAGAGTAATGACTCTGGAGAAGACCGGAGTGAGTACAACACAGACACGTCTGCCCTGTCCTCTATTAATCCAGATGAAATCTTGTTAGATGAAGAAGAGGAGGACGAAGATAATGTTGTCAGCGCACACAGTGACATGAACACACCTTCTGTAGAACCTTCTTCTGATCAAGCTTTGGACTTTTCTGCAAGCTTTTCTGATGTCAGGATCTTGCCAAGTTCCATGTTTGTGTCTTCGGATGATACTTCAGGTTCACTAACTGGTGGAGAGGGGAAGCCTGCTGAGACTGTGGAGTTTGGGGAGGACAAGGACTTAACTGAGTTTCCATTGAAGAGGCTGAGTAATGAACACGAGCCTGAACAAAGGAAAAAAATTAAAAGGCGGAATCAAGCCATCTATGCTGCAGTAGATGATGACAGTGATGCATAATGGACTTGTCTTAGCAATACATCTAGATACCTGATGCTCAAGACCCAAGTTTTAGGGTTGGATTTTTGATTTATGACTTTGTAATAATGAAATGACAGAATTTTGGTTAGATATCAACTTTGTCTTTAATGTTTGTATGGTTCAGATATAAAATATATTAAAATTTCCTATGAAACTTGATTGACTACCATTTTTTGAAGACACTATTTACTGCCATTTTTCAGCACTTATTGCACATGTACTTTGTGCAAAACACTCTCTGTAATATGGGGCTAGTGGGACTCTAAAGATAAGCTAAGGCAGGGATTTTGTTAAGCATTTTGATGCATAAAAATGGCATATTTATATTTGATTAAAGTTACCTCATTATTGTATACATAACTATGCATGCTTGCTTTTATTATATTTTCCTGGTCAGTTACCAACAATATTGTGTTGTATAACTGCTGCCCTTCTTGCTGCATGGTAGGTTGATGATATTATTTTTGAGGACCCATGTGGAAAAACAACCTATGTATCATTTCTGGCTAGACTACTTGGGTCGCCTGAAGAGATTGTCTCCCTGGACTTCGGATCTGGAATCATGGGATCCAAAAATCATTGTCCCACTGCAGTTGGAATTCAGGAGCCAGTTTAAGAGAATACTGTTGCAGTTAGTTTCCATCTTGTCTTGACTGATATAACTCTAGGACTTTGGACCTTTTATCTTTGTTTCCTTCCATTTTTGCATTAAAGTTTTTTGTTTTTTTGTTTTGTTTTTGTCTTTTTGAGACAGGGTCTCCCTGTAGCTCCAGCTGGCCTGGTACTCACTATGTAGACCAGGCTGGCCTTGAACTCAGAGATCCTGCCTCTGCCTTCTGAGTGCTGGAATTAAAAGTGTACAACCACCTCTAAAAAAAGATTTTAATTCTTAATTTACATAAAGAATTTAAAACTGAATTTCCTCCAATCATTTATTTGAATCCTATAATTCAAATAGTTTTTTTCCCTAGAACATTCTTTTTTTTTTTTTTAATTAAAAGAAGCATTTCATTACAACAGCATTAACCTATTCAATAACATTTTTCCAGAGCTAAGATACATCTCTTTCAAAATT